GTAGGGGGCACACAGCTGAGGTAGGGGGCACACAGCTGAGGTAGGGGGCACACAGCTGAGGTAGGGGGCACACAGCTGAGGTAGGGGGCACACAGCTGAGGTAGGGGGCACACAGCTGAGGTACGGGGCACACAGCTGAGGTAGGGGGCACACAGCTGAGGTAGGGGGCACACAGCTGAGGTAGGGGGCACACAGCTGAGGTAGGGGCACACAGCTGAGGTAGGGGGCACACAGCTGAGGTAGGGGGCACCAGCTGAGGTTATAGCAACTCAGCCCAATGCTCCACAGGGCGGCTGGGGGGGGGGACTGGCACTCCCTACTGAAATATGGTGATTTATATCAGTAAATAAAATATTACGATGGTGAATCACCGTACCGAGAAGACCTGTGGAACAGCGGGAGACACTTAAGACGGTTTCACAAACAGCAAAAGTCCCTGGCAAGGAATACGTTAAAGTATTGGAGCAGTGTAAGTAGGAGTGTGTGGGGAGGTGTCGGGGTGTAGAGGGATCAGGCAGTTGAATATTTAGAGTGGTACCGGGCGATGAAGTAACGTGGGACGGGTGTAGACAGGCTGTTTGTTGACAGGAGGGGAGCCTTTTCCACCCTCGGGGAGGGAGGGAAGGCCGAGCACTCGAACCACAACCTGGTTTTTGTGGTGTTAGACCGTATATAAGGCGACGATGAATGACGTAACTGGTTCAAGGAGGCTGGTTGAGGCTTAAGTATCATAACAGCATATAACTCAATAGTTTGATCGGAGATTCGGACTCGGGGCCTCAAGAGTACGAGACCCTCTCTGTTCTATCGTCGATTTTCCGGTGGTGTAAGTGAGTGAAATGTTGGTACCCGCATCACCGTGGAATGCATTAGGCTCATCGGCAAGTTTGTTATCTTGATACGTAACGCACGTCAATATTAGAGTGGTTGTAAGGCGGTGTTCCGCGAGGCCTCGATATCATTTTCCGAGCTCTCCGGTGTAGGTTAGTTGGGCGGGTACTGAGAGGCACTTCTAGAGGCTGTCTAGGTGATGGTCGAGAGGGGACAGTGTTCGTGAAGCAGCGTGTGTAGAGAGTACCTTCATCACTTATCACTAGTTTACTGTTGAGTGTAACACAGTACACAGGTACTCTACAGGTACACAAACACCACTGCATGTGCTCCTCTTCCCCCCCCCCCACACATACACATACAAGCCCTGCCTCTACAACCCTGCCTCCACAACCCTGCCTCCACAACCCTGCCTCTAGTTACACCAGCCTCATCCTGTGCATGCTAAGTCGAGGGGAACCTGCCATGACAGCCTCAATCTCTGGAAGACTAATATGTGAAGATAAGCGACTTAAAGATGAACTTACTGAACCAGGGGCCAGATTCACGAAGCAGTTACGCAAGCACGTACGAGCCTGTCCATCTTTTTTCAATCTTTGGCGGCTTTGTTTACAATTATTAAACAGATTATGAGCTGCAAAGCACCAGGAGGCTGTTTATAACAATAACAACAGTTGATTGGCAAGTTTTCATGCTGGTACACTGTTTAATAAATGTAACCAAAGCAGTCAAAGATTGAGGAAAGATGTACACGTTCGTAAGTACTTGCATAACTGCTTCGTGAATCTGGTCCCCCTGGTTACGGTGCGATGGGCAGAGCAATCACAATTACTCTAATTGCAAACGACATTAGTTATAAATCATTCAGTGGTCATTTACTGTGGCTTACTGGAAAATCATGTTAATTAGTTACTAGTTAGACGGTGAGAGGTGAAGGTTGGCAGTGTGTGTCAGCATCTCTGGCACACTGGCACTCTTGCCTGCAACTTAGTGCCACAATGGACATTGTATTATTGAGCAGAATAAGTCACATTAATGTAACTGAAACGACGAATCCAATATTCAGGGACGACGTTTCAGTCTGCCCTGAACCCTTGTGTGGCGACGTTTCGGGTCCTGAATCCTTGATCGAAACGTCGTCATTTAATGTGTGGGTTGAGTTATTTTGTATAGAACTTGATGAGCAGCTTCCCAGTGTGAGGATAGTGGTGATGGTAGTGTCCCCTCGGTGGTTACTTCCCTAGTGCCATGTTGCGCTCGTGTGTGTGTGTGTAGGTCTGCCACCCCCTGGTTACTGGTAGTGAGTGTGTGGGTGTCCCCCCCCCTGGCTGTGTCACTGTCCCCCCCCTGGCAGTGTCACTGTCCCCCCTGGCTCAGTCACTGTCCCCCCCCCTGGTTCAGTCACTGCCCCCCCCTGGTTCAGTCACTGCCCCCCCCCCCTGGTTCAGTCACTGCCCCCCTCTGATTCAGTCACTGCCCCCCCTGGCTCAGTCACTGCCCCCCCTGGCTCAGTCACTGCCCCCCCCTGGCTCAGTCACTGCCCCCCCCCCTGGCTCAGTCACTGCCCCCCCCCCTGGCTCAGTCACTGCCCCCCCCCTGGCTCAGTCACTGCCCCCCCCCTGGCTCAGTCACTGCCCCCCCCTGGCTCAGTCACTGTCCCCCCCCTGGTTCAGTCACTGCCCCCCCTGGTTCAGTCACTGCCCCCCCCTGGTTCAGTCACTGCCCCCTCCTGGTCCAGTCACTGCCCCCCCTGGTTCAGTCACTGCCCCCCCCCCTGGTTCAGTCACTGCCCCCCCCCCACTGGCTCAGTCACTGCCCCCCCCCCCCCCTGGTTCAGTCACTGCCCTCGACGTCACTGTGTATAACCAGAATGTACTTTGATCTATCTATTCCTAAATGTAGGCTGACCAATTTTTCCCAGTTTAGTACATATATATATTTTTTACATAGGCCTAGGTGACATAAGTTTGTCATCACATGAAATCGTTTTTCCATGCGGTGTTGACTATGATCAAGTTATTACTTGAAGACTTTTGTAGCATAGAAATACAACTTTTTTTTTGTATTAACTACGTTAACGTGGATTCACATGCTTTTGAAGTATTACTGTGTCTTAGATTTTTGTCCTGTAGTCCTCCTTCTTATTCTCAAAGTTACCTTCACTTTCCTCCGACTCGCATCTTCCTCTGGGACTAGCTGCCTGCCTTCCTGTGGTGTCTTCTGCCTCTGTGGCCGTGTGCCGGGGACCCCTTGGAGGCTGTGGTAACCTGCTGTGGCCCATGAAGCGGTCTCTGGCTTGGCTTCAACCTGTCCCCATCCTTAGCCCTACCTTCCATTTTCCATAGATCTACTCCTTTCCTGAGAGCTGCCTCCTGTTTGATCTACCTGTTCCTCTCCTTAGATCTACCTGCCTCTTCCCTCGTGCTCCATTCTTCCCTCCCTGTCTTAGACCCTCTTAGAATTTAAATGGTTTTCTCCTCGTGCATCAAGCCAACCTCAATAGCCCTTTGCTGCTTGCTAAAGTTGGGCTTGCTCCTTCTAACTGGGGCTGGGATTAGTAGCTTCAGAGGTACCTTGAACCATGCCCTGTTTTTTCCACTGTACGTAATTTTTCCAACAGTGTTTCCCCCGAATTGCCGAAACTGACTCCAATTTTCTCTTAGTGTAAAATGCCCTTTGACCCTATTTTAACTACCCTTAAACCTCCCCAAAGCCGGGAACCTGATCACAATGTTTGAGGATCAGGTAAACTGTCCTCAGGTCTCCTCAGTTTCCTGTAGTTGACCCCCTTGAAGGTGCCATTGACCCCTTGAAGGTGCCATTGACCCCTTGAAGGTGCCATTGACCCCTTGAAGGTGCCATTGACCCCTTGAAGGTGCCATTGACCCCTTGAAGGTGCCATTGACCCCTTGAAGGTGCCATTGACCCCTTGAAGGTGAAATTGACCCCTTGAAGGTGCCATTGACCCCTTGAAGGTGCCATTGACCCCTTGAAGGTGCCATTGACCCCTTGAAGGTGCCATTGACCCCTTGAAGGTGCCATTGACCCCTTGAAGGTGCCATTGACCCCTTGAAGGTGCCATTGACCCCTTGAAGGTGCCATTGACCCCTTGAAGGTGCCATTGACCCCTTGAAGGTGCCATAGACCCCTTGAAGGTGCCATAGACCCCTTGAAGGTGCCATAGACCCCTTGAAGGTGCCATAGACCCCTTGAAGGTGCCATAGACCCCTTGAAGGTGCCATTGGCCCCTTGAAGGTGCCATTGGCCCCTTGAAGGTGCCATAGACCCTATCCTTAATGTTGCCCTCACCTGCCGGCCTAGCTTTTTCCTGAAGGTGCCCAGTGACCTTTGTACCTACCCTTATCCTGACCTGTAGGCAAGCTGACCCTCTGAAGACGCCCGTCGCCCTTAACCTTGCCCTTACCTGTAGCTTTAGCGGATACAGTTGAGCCGGCCTTCGTGTCCGACCCCCCTCATGCCCCCCTCATGCCCCCCTCATGCCCTCATGCCCTCCTCACGACGGCCGGCTGAAGCTTGTTGAGGGTGAGCGTCTGTGTGCTTGGGCTGGTGGGCTGATCGCTGCCAAGTCTTGGGCTGTGTAGGGCTGTCGGCTCCTTCCTTGCTGCTGCTACCTCACACCCGCCTCCACCCTGCCCGCCCGCCCGCCGCCCACCCCACACCCGCCTCCACCCTGCCCGCCCGCCCGCCGCCCACCCCTCACCCGCCTCCACCCTGCCCGCCCGCCCGCCGCCCACCCTCCACACCACCTCCCGATGCTGAGAATGAGTAGTAGAATGGGCGCAGTGCCACGCCCGCTGCCGCCCTCATGCCCCTGGGCCCGCTATGCTCCCCCTGGGCATGCTGGGACACGTGCCGTGGTAACCACCATCGCCTAGGGACAGCCCATGCCCCTAGCCACACGCCCCTGGCTCCGCTCCCACCTCTTCGCTCCTGACGGAAGATGGTTTTTTTTCAAGTTAGAACCTTTTGTGTGCTTATTGCCTTTTAGTATTAGTTTGACGGGTAGTTGAAGTGCGCGGCGGAGTGGCGGCCGTGTGGGCGTGTGGCGGAGGAGGCGTGCGGCGGTGGAGGCGTGCGTGCGTGGCGTGCGGCCGCCATTGTAGTGCCCCGCCCTGGTTCACCATGTGACGTCGTCCTCTCTCTTGCAGACCCCTACCCGGAGAGTGCCTGCCACCTCACCTGACACTCCAGCCAGACAACAGCTTGCTTCTTTGATCCAACACCTGGCAGCCAGCCACCTTGACCACCATACGCTCGCTTACAAACCGTCCTCGACAAATTGTGGTTACCGCTTACTCCCGAGGCTTTTGCTGCTGTGTGGGCTTGTCTCTGTGTCGGTGTAGCGGGGAATGAGGATACCAGAGTGAGCAAAAGCGCGCACCCCCGGACTGACCACCCGTCACCTTACCAACCCCCTCACTACACATCTCCAGCACCGTCGCCGCCTGCTGAACCACTCCTGCTGCTGCTGCTGCCGCTGCTGCTGCTACCGCTTCCACCGCCGCCGCCGCCGCCGCTGCTCAAGCGTTCCTTTGAAGGCGTGGTGAGACTCCGCTCGGAGTCTCGACTAGAGGCGAGCTGGATCCTTCGGCCGCCGCCGCCGCCGCAGCTGCGCACAGCGCTCCACCCTACAGTGCTATGGTGAGCGCTGGGGTGCCCAACATGGCAATGGTCAACGTCAACAACTTTTTGAACGTGAAGGACTCCCGCTGGCTGCAGCTGGAAGTGTGCCGAGAGTTCCAGAGGAACAAGTGCACGCGACCAGACACAGAGTGCAAGTTCGCACACCCGCCACCCAACGTCGAAGTCCAGAACGGACGCGTGACGGCGTGCTACGACTCTATTAAGGTAAGTTGCACTTCTCACTCCACCATCCATGCCAACTCTTCATACTCCACGAGTTGCTGGGGAAAATGTCTAGTTTTAGCGTAATTGTTCGTAATGCTAAGAAGTAACTGGCCCAGCCAGCTAACGCACAAGTTGTTACTTCCACGCAACTTTGCGTCAAAGTAACAACCGTTGTGGGTTGTGAGTGTGAAGGGAAACGCCTGTTATCAGAGCCCCCTTGAACACTATATCTGGAACATTGAGTAAACAACTCCATATATGTTGGCATGGATGCTGATGCTTTGTTTGATTCATTTGCAGGTAATTATGTTTTATGTACAGGAAACACTTTCATGCATAGTTGTAACATGTTCTGGCAACACTGGCGGGGACAGGCAACCTTGCTCCTGCACCCTTAACCAGTCACCGTCATGTCCCACATGTCCACATAGTCTCGTGTGCTTGCAAGGCTAAATAAGCAGCAGGGATGTAAGGAAGCCCTCGTGCCCTGTGCGGCCCGTCAACAAGTGGGCAGAAAGTAATAGTTGTGGAAGCCGCCTCCATCCATAACTTCAAGGCCAGGCACGATAAGACCTATCAAAATCCTCAGATTAGGCAAAATTGTAATTAATTTTGTCAATAAAGATGTTAATAATAATAAGGCACGATAAGGAATTTGAACGTCAGAATAGTTTGTAACGCAACTGGCACTAAAGGGTCAGTAGCCGAGGCCTGAACAACTACACCTCACTTACACATACCCACATAAGTACTTGTAGATTGTACTTACACAAGTACTTGTGAATGAGCTGTAAGTTATTCCCAGAGTTCCTGCTGCGTCTCCAGCTTGTAGCGCGGCGTCTTGTTGCTCTTTACATCTAGAATTCTAAGACTACAAAAAACTGAAATGTGGAATTATCAAAAACATAAAATGAATTTCGTAACTAAAGCAGAAATGTAAAGTTTTCCACTACAATGGTAAAGTTAAAGCGAAAATATCCTGGGTTATTCTGAGACGAATATTTTGTAGGGAAGCAACAGTAGAGTTCTCTGGTGCATGACTGTACCGTCACACACACCAGGAACTGTACCGTCACACACCAGGAACTGTACCGTCACCAGGAACTGTACCATCACCAGGAACTGTACCATCACACACACACGCTATGATCTCCATTACCCTGATTTTCACGTGAGAGGTACACAGCGCTATATGAGAGAGGAAGTCCAATAGCCCGAGAAATGTTTTAGACACAGGCAGAAACAGAGGGAGAAACAGACAGGCAGAAACGTGGCAGGAGTACGGATTGAGAGGGGGAAATGCCCAAGACTGGACTACGGTTCGTCATCAAGCCCCCACATACTACACCCCCCAACTACACAGCGACTACCACACTCCCCAGTATCACTTCCAAAACTGGACAAACCATTGCCACAACAACACACCCTGGGTCAGGGTAGAGAGAACACACCCTGGGTCAGGGTAGAGAGGACACACCCTGGGTCAGGGTAGAGAGGACACACCCTGGGTCAGGGTAGAGAGGACACACCCTGGGTCAGGGTAGAGAGGAGGGAGAACTACCAAAACCTTCCAGAAGTGACACACAATATGGACAATCATTCATATTTGTGAACATTCAAGGTTTAAAGCCAGAGTTGAGTTCATAAATGGCCTCCTATTAGAGTCAAACTCAATATTTGGGGCATTCACGGAAACTCGTACAAAAGATTACACGGATGGTGAAATCTGGATTCCAAATTATAATTTATATGGATGTGATAGAGAAAATAGGTCAAATGGAGGAGTAGGTCTGTATATTAAAGAAGACCAGGTATGCACAGAACTACTAAACTCAACTAATAAGGTGGTGGAGGTACTTGGAATTAAGGTAGAAAAAATAAACCTAATTATTATTCTAATATATAAACCTCCAGATACAACAGTTGAGGAATTCACGGAGCAGATGCATAAAATAGAGAACATCCTTAATAACCTGGCAAACCCAGCTCCAGATATTATCTTGCTTGGAGATTTCAGTTTATCAAGTCTAAGATGGAGAATGGTAAACACAAATATCATAGCAGGGAACGACCCGAGAAATGACCAACCACAGGCTTTTAAGATTCTGTGACAAATTTTCGCTCAACAGATCACAACAAACTAGGAACGAAAACACACTAGACTTGGTATACACAAACAATGATGAACTAATCAGAGACATTACAATCTCAGATACTTCATACTCAGACCATAAGCTCATTGAAGTGCGAACTAGCATAAATTACTAGTCTCCGTGGTGTAGTGGTAAGACACTCGCCTGGCGTTCCGCGACCTAACCTAACCTTGTCATGGGTTCGTATCCTGGCCGGGGAGGATTTACTGGGCGCAAATCCTTAACTGTAGCCTCTGTTTAACGCAACAGTAAAATGTGTACTTGGATGAAAAAACGGCGGCGGCAGGGATCGTATTCCAGGGACCTGCCCGAAACGCTACGCGTACTAGTGGCTGTACAAGAATGTAACAACTCTTGTATATATCTTTAAAAAAAAAAAAAAAAAAACGGTACTAGGTCTGAGACCCAACAAGCGAGGAGGAGTATTCGATCAATTTAATTTCAACAATAAGATCGACTGGGAGAAAATAAATGTAGACCTTGCAACTATTCAATGGGAGACGGTTTTAAGCGACCAAACTCCCACACAGGGAACTCAACTGACGGCTGAAACCTACAAGGTCTGCTTGAAGCACGTGCCTGTGAGGAGGGGCAGAAAGAGGACCACGTTAGAAAGAGAACGCAGACGATGCTTAGGCAGACACGACTATCACAAGAAAGGAAAATAAACCTAAACAGGGAGATCGAAGAAATAGAACAAACGTTGAAGCGATCATACGAGTCTGAGGAAATGGAACTGGAACAGAAAGCTGTACAAGAGATAAAGAAAAATTCGAAATATTTTTTCACATACGCAAAATCAAAAACCTCCACCAGTATTGGACCTTTAATTACAACTGAAGATACGTACACAGAGGACAACAAAGAAATTAGTGAAATTCTAAGAAGCCAGTATGAGGCTATGTTTAGCACACCATTAAACAACATGAAAGTTGACGACCCAGACAGCTTCTTTATGAATGACATTCAAGCTGCAGATAATATAACGGATATTACTACAAACTCGGAAGACTTTGAAAGAGAAATTGACAACATGCCTATGCACTCAGCTCCTGGGCCTGACTCATGGAATTCAATATTCATTAAGAAATGTAAAGTACCAGTAGCGCGAGCACTCAGCGTAATATGGAGAAAGAGTCTGGTAGTAAGGTGATCAAGGGGGGTAGTAAAGCCTTGGCAAAAAATTATAGACCAATTGCACTAACATCACACATAATATAAGTTTTTGAACGAGTGAATAGGAATCAACTTTCTAGTTTTATGGAAAATAATGAGTTACACAACCCAGGACAACATGGATTTAGAGCGGGAAGATCCTGTCTGTCACAGTTACTCAACCACTATGACAAAATCACAGAAGCCCTAGAAGAAAAGCAAAATGCAGATGTTGTATACACAGACTTTGCAAAGGCGTTCGACAAATGTGACCACGGGACGATAGCACACAAAATGAGGTCAGTGGGAATAACTGGTAAAGTAGGACGCTGGATACTCAATTTCCTATCGAACAGAACACAAAGAGTAACAGTCAATCAGATAAAATCGAGTCCAAGCACAGTCAAAAGCTCTGTACCTCAAGGTACAGTCCTTGCACCGCTACTGTTTCTTATTCTCATATCAGAAATAGACAAAAATACAAGTCACAGCTTCGTGTCATCCTTTGCAGATGACACGAAAATTAGCATGAAAATTACCTCTGCGAAAGACATTGAAAAACTACAAGCAGATATCAACAAAGTTTTCGGTTGGGCAGCAGAAAATAATTCCAGGTACTCAGGTACGGCAAAAATGAGGATTCTGAAACATAATACAGGGTACAAAACACAATCGAATCTGCTCATAGTAGGAAAACAGGATGTCATGGATTTGGGAATAATGATGTCTGACGACCTAACGTTTAGGGAGCATAACCAAGCAAATATTGCGTCAGCCAGAAAAATGATCAGATGGATTACGAGAACTTTCAAATCCAGGGATCCCATCACAATGGTTGTACTCTTCAAGTCACTTGTGTTGTCCCGTCTTGAGTACTGCTCAGTACTCGCTTCCCCCTTCAGAGCAGGAGAGATTGCTGAAATAGAGGGAATACAGAGAACATATACGGCACTCATAGACGCGATAAAGCACCTAAATTATTGGGATCGTCTCAAAGCTCTCCAAATGTACTCACTAGAAAGGAGACGAGAGAGATACCAAATAATATACACATGGAAAATACTGGAGGGCCAGGTCCCAAATCTACACAGTAAAATAACAACGTACTGGAGTGAACGATATGGAAGAAAATGCAGAATAGAACCAGTGAAGAGCAGAGGTGCCATAGGCACAATCAGAGAACACTGTATAAACATCAGAGGTCCGCGGTTGTTCAACGTCCTCCCAGCGAGCATAAGAAATATTGCCGGAACAACCGTGGACATCTTCAAGAGGACACTAGATAGTTTCCTCCAAGGAGTGCCGGACCAACCGGGCTGTGGTGGGTATGTGGGCCTGCGGGCCGCTCCAAGCAACAGCCTGGTGGACCAACCGGGCTGTGGTGGGTATGTGGGCCTGCGGGCCGCTCCAAGCAACAGCCTGGTGGACCAACCGGGCTGTGGTGGGTATGTGGGCCTGCGGGCCGCTCCAAGCAACAGCCTGGTGGACCAACCGGGCTGTGGTGGGTATGTGGGCCTGCGGGCCGCTCCAAGCAACAGCCTGGTGGACCAACCGGGCTGTGGTGGGTATGTGGGCCTGCGGGCCGCTCCAAGCAACAGCCTGGTGGACCAAACTCTCCCAAGTCATGGTCCTCGGGTCCGTCACCACTGGAGGGGCCCTCACCAGTGCGGTATTCTCCCTTTATCAGCGGAG